ATCTTCTCTCTCTCTCTTCTATATCTATCTATCTATCTATCTATCTATCTATCTATCTATCTATCTATCTTCTCTCTCTCTCTTCTCTATCTATCTATCTATCTATCTATCTATCTATCTATCTATCTATCTATCTATCTATCTATCTCTCTCTCTCTCTCTCTCTCTCTCTCTCTCCCCCTCTCTCTTTCTCTTTCTTTGTCTCTCTCTCCCTCTCTCTCTCCCTCTTCTCTCTCCTCTTTGTCTTTCTCTCTCCCTCTCTCCCTCTCCTTCTCCCCCTCTCTCTTTCTCTTTCTTTGTCTCTCTCTCCCTCTCTCTCTCCCTCTTCTCTCTTCCTCTTTGTCTTTCTCTCTCCCTCTCTCCCTCTCTTTCTCCCCCTCTCTCTTTCTCTTTGTGTCTCTTCCTCCCTCCCTCCCTCCCTCTCTTCCTCTCCCCCCTCTTTCTTTCTCTTTGTCTCTCCCTCTCTCTCCCTCTCCCTCTTTCTCTTTGTCTCTCTCCTTCCCTCTCTCTCCCTCCCTCTCTTTCTCTTTGTCTCTCTCTCTCCCTCCCTCTTCTCTCTCTCCCTCCCTCTCCCTCTCTTTCTCTTTGTCTCTCTCTCTCTCCCTCCCTCTTCTCTCTCCCTCTCTCTCCCTCCTTCTCTCTCTCTCTCTCTCCCTCCCTCTCCCTCTCTTTCTCTTTGTCTCTCTCTCTCTCTCCCTCCCTCCCTCTCTGGGGTCGGGTGGCCTCCTTCCCCCTTACCTTTGTGTTTCTGCAAAGCCTTCTGGGTGGACTGCAAGACGGACTCGTGGAACTGGTGCGCAAACTCCTCGGCCAGGAAGGGCTCCCACTGCTTGTTCTTCCCGTTCACGCTGTGGGAGAGCGGGACGGGGATCTCTTTCGGCAACGGGCCCCGGACGCAGTTCAGGAGGGTGAAGTTCTTCTTGACCGTGTGCCCGTCGCTTAACCTGGGCTTCTCCGCCGGGAGGGGAAGGGGCTCTTTGGCTCTGGTAAAGTCCGGGGGTCTCAGGTGATTTGTTCTGCACGACTCCGTGGCCTTCGGGACTTCCGGCACAGACGCAGGAGCAACGGCGACTGGTTTCTCGAAGTCTGCCGCCACCGTTTGATGGACGTGTGAGTCTTGGGGAAGGAAAAAGCCACACATCAGTTAAGACCCAGAAGATGCTCTGCCCCATGACACCTCTGGGATTCCTACTCCAGGAGCAGGAGATGGAGGGCCCAATCCCGTCACGCAGAAAGAAACCTTTCCATTTAACTTTTTTTAAGGTCTCTGGAGCTCATGGTTGTTGCAAAGATGCTTTTTTCCCCCTGGACTTCCTTATTTTTCTTTGAAGACGTTTCTCTTCTCATCCAAGAAGCTTCTTCAGCTCCTGCTGTCCTGCCTGCAAGCCATCTTTCCTTTTAGCCTTCAGGCCTGCCACACTTTCTACTTTCTATTGTGGGAAAATGGGAATGGGGGGGGAGGACTATACGGAGTTGGGTGGTATGTAGCCATAACAACATTCTTCTTAGAAAGCCAAGGTCAGTTCTGCAGTTTGGCTGTTCAAATCTCACCGGCTCAGGGTTAACTCAGCCTTCCATCCTTCCGAGGTGGGTGAAATGAGGACCCAGACTGTGGGGGCGATATGCTGAC